AAAGATTCACACAAGTAAATATCCCCTCTTCTGCCTCTTTTTAACCATGTGCTTTATTATTTATTTATTTATTTATTTTGAGTTGGAGTCTCACTCTGTCACCCAGACCGCAGCCTCGACCTGCTGGGCTCTGGCAATCCTTCCACCTCAGCCTTCCAAGTAGCTGGAACTACAGGCATGCGCTACCATGCCCGGCTAATTTTTTGATTTATTGTAGAGATGAGGTCTCGTTGCCCAGGTGGGTCTTGAACTCGCGGGCTCAGGCAATCCACTTACCTCAGCCTCCCAAAGGCGCGGGATTACAGGCTGAGCCACCGAGCCTGGCTAACCATGTGCTTTAAATAACTAAAAGTCTTCAAAGCAATTACAAACTATTCACTCAACACTTTCAAATATATGAAATATGAACAAAACCTCAAATGCACTGGAATTAATATCCAGGACATTACAAAACAATTGCTATCTTAAAGTCTTAGGAACCAAAAAGCCTTCAAAGGCAGCTCAATTCAGCCTAACCCGCCAGACAGTTATTACCCAGCTTAATCTCTGTCAATTAGAATACAGCACGCAGTGTTATTACTCGATCTAGATAGCACCATAGCAGTATCATTTAATATTTCTTTTTCTAACTCCAATTACCTTAGAAAAGAAATCCTGTTACTAGAACTATGTAGCCTATAGAGTCTTAAATTCAGAGGAAGGAAAGCAGAGATATGAATTTAACATTAATGAAACTCATTATCCCTACTGAGAAAGCAGGTTACTCAGAATAGAGAGAGTAAGAATGTTCGAGCAGAAATCATGCCTTTGTCTGGCAAGTTACCAAGTCTCAGCATATTATAACACTTCAAATTCTTAATCCATGTTATGAAACAGCAGTGGTGGCAGATGACAGATGTAAGGGTCTCCTAGTTTTTTTGTTGCCTTCCCTACCAGTTGCTCCCTGGTTCCTCCTCCCGACTCCCTGCAGCTGGGGCTCCTTCAGGGCTCAGTTCTGGGCTGCCCATCGCTTTTCCCTTTCCATAAATGGTTAGGCTGATGTCCTCAAATTTATCTCAGCCAAGACGCCTCCACTGGGTTACAGACACTCACGCTGACTACCTTTTCACCTTCTCTCTATTTTAAGATAGCTAATGTTTCAACTCCAGCAAATCTAGATAATAACAGCCCGTGTAACAATGACATACTGAGCACTTCTTAGGGGCCAGACCTCATTCTAAGCACTTTCCATGTACTAATTTATTTAATCCTCCCAACGACCCCATAAGGCAGGTAGAAACTATGATTATCCCATTCTCTCAGAGGGGGAAATAAAGGTACACAAAGCAAAGCAACTAGCTCAAGACTAGACTATTTAACAGATGGCAGGGTTGGGCTTTAAACTGAGCCCTTCTGGCTTCAGAGCCTGATCTCCAAATGACTGTGCTCAACTAAGTTACTTAAGGCAAAGTCTAGTTTTATCCCCAGGTCTATTCCCATCTCCTGACTCCAGATTTTCTCACTTCAGTAAGGACAGAGGTCATCTACTCAAGCTGGAAAGAAGTCATTGTTGGGGTCTCACTGCTGCCCGGGCTGAAGTGTAGTGGCACATTCGCAGCCACTGCAGCTTTGGCCAGCTGGGCTCAGGCACTCTTTCCACCTCAGCCTGCCAAGTAGCTGGGACCTACATGCATGTGCCACCACACCCAGCAAATTTTTTGATTTTTCATATAAATGAGGTCTCGCCAAGTTGTCCAGGCTGGTCTCAAACCCCTGGGCTCAGGTGGTCCTCTTGCCTCCGCCTCCCAAAGTGCTGGGATTATAAGCGAGAGCTCCTGCGCCCAGTCAGAAGTCATTTTTTTATTCCTCCCTTCCCCTCAATGCCCAAACCATCAAGTTCTCGCAAATCCCACCCTCTTCTCTACCCGCTTTACAGTCAAAATACGGAGAAATAACCCCAAGAGCAGTCTCCGGGCCTCTGTGCTCACATACCCAGTCCCCCAGATGCACCCTCCACTCAGCAAAAGGAATCTTAAGATACACATCAGTTCATACATTTATGTTAACTCCATGGAATGGCTTTTTCTCACTCTGAGAATAAAACACAGTCCTCACCACATCTTTCAAATGCCCCTGGTCTATACGGTCTGACAATTAAGTTTGCAAACTTGCCACCATGCTCTTACATTGGCAGCTCTGTATAAACAACTCAGTGAGGTTTCATAACCTTGGAATATCAGTGTCTCACAGCCATCTTCATGTCGACATGTGGTGGTGTCTTGCTGAGTGGCGTTCGTTATTGTTGCCTGTTTTTATGTGTTGTCATGAGAATGTTGGAGCCTGAATTAGAGCAATGAACAAACATTAAATTTCCTGTTAAACTTGACATGAGTGGAGAAATCAGGGACATGTTAGTTCAAGTTTATGGGGATAACGTTATGAAGAAAATGGCAGTGTTTAAATGGATTAAATGTGAAAGGATGGACTAAAAGCAAGAAGCCACTTTGTTTTGTTTCTAAATCTTATATGCAATAATGAGAAAGTAAAAGCTGTGTCCTGGAGGAATGCATACTTTAGATAAAGACTAACTTTGCTGACTTTGTCTTTTCAGAAACCCAGATCCCTCAAACATGACGAGTATCTGCCCATTGTAATCATAAAGCAGACTCCCTCTCTTCCTCAAGGTCTACAAATCATCTACCCAGTGAGGCATCTGTGTTTCTGGCCTTGATGTATTGTTAATAAGTTTCCTGTGACCAGTCTCCAGTCCACCACCTGGAGTCATGAGATACCAGGGCCTGGTGATGCCAAGACACAAGACTTGTGATTCCTGTTATCTACATCAACAAGTGCAACTTTAAACAATCTCCTTGATCCAAATTCCTCTCTAAGAACTTTAAAGATACCCAGTTCCCCAGCCTTCAAGGCCACACTCATCTTAGAATGCCAGCCCCCTTTCTGTCTGTGGGAAGTGATCTTTTCTTAAATAAATCTTTTTTTTCTTTATCTTTTGATGTGTTGCAAATCTCTGTGCTACTCGGATCTCCAGTTACCAGCATGTACCTCCAGCACACCAGCTCTGGCAATGCTGTGTCCCCTCCAGACCCACCCTAACCTAAACAAGATGTTTTCCTGAAGGGGAGAAAGCATCACTGATGAAGAGAGGTCAGGACAGTCAATAACGAGCAGAACTGATGAAAATATTGCAAAAGCACATCAGATTGTGCATCAAAATCGTCACTGGCTATGAAAAGCATAGCAGACCAAATAAACTTCGATAGAGAAACAGGAAAATATTAACTGAAAATCTTTGCATGAGAAAGATTATATACAAAAATGGCCCCAAAGGAGTTCTTGCATCACGACAATGCACCAGTTCACACAGTCCTATCTGTGAGGAAGTCTTTAGCCAGTAAACAACTGTATTGGAACACCTTCCCTACTCACCTGATCTGGACACCAATGACTTTTTTCTTTACCCAAAGATAAAGGAAATATTGGAAGACATTTTGATGATATTCAGGACATTAAGGATAATACAATGACAGCTTTGATGGCCCTTCCAGAAAAAAAGTTCCAAAATTGCTCTGACAGGTGGACTAGGTGCTGACATCGGTGCATAGCTTCCCAAGGGGAGTGCCTCAAAGGTGACGATAGTGATATTCAGCAACAAGGTAGGTAGCACTTTTTCTAGGATGAGTTTGTGATCTTAATTGTCACAACTCGTATTTTTAAAACTGCCTACTTTGCTGTAGCCACATTGTTGTTTTTCCCAACTAATCTAAGTTCTCCAAAGTTGATGAGAAATAAATTCGTGTGATCTTCTGTTTGAAATTATGCACAGTGCCAGTCCTCTCAAATAGCATGGATACAGCAGAATTCTGATCCTAAGATATTCGGGACACAGTAACCTTGGGGCCTGGTACCCAGCTCCCTCCCTGCTGCTCACCTTACATCCATATTCCTATGCATATTTCCATTCACTGGGAAAAGACCCCAGCCCCCCCCCCCAATAACCAGCAACATCATTTCTAGAATAAAAAAGGATCACCTCCTGAAGGAAAGGTAAATATCAAAACATGATAGGATTGCACAGTGGGATATGTATGATCCTTTTACTCTTCCTTCCTACCTTTTATTCCGCTTCTTCCCAAAAAAGGCCAAACAGCCCAGGGTAAAAAGTCTATGACAAAGCAATAATTTAAAATGTGGGTAAGGCCAGGTGCAGTGGCTTAATCCAAGAGGCCAAGGCAGAAGGCCTTCTTGAGACCAGGAGTTTGAGACCAGCCTGGGCAACATAGCAAGACCTCATCTCTACAAAAAATTTAGCCAGGTGTGGTGGCACGCATCTCTAGTTGCAGCTACGTAGAAGGCTGAGGAAGAAAAATTGCCTGAGCCCAGAAGGTCAAGGCTACAGAGTCATCACTGTACCACTGCATTCCAGCCTGGGTGACAAAGTGACACCCCAACAAAAAAAAAAGTAGGTAAGTTAATGTAAGACAAAAAAAAGGCAGGAAAATCTTTAAAATTTAGACTCTTAGGCCAGGCACAGTGACTGGCACCTATAATTCTAGCACTCTGGAAGGCCACAGTGGGAACACTGCTTGAGCTCAGGGATTTGAAACCAACCTGGGCAACATAGTGAGACCTTGTCTCTACAAAAAAAAAAAATAATAATCAAAAAATTAGCCAGGTGTGTTGGTGCACACCTATAATCCCAGCTCCTCCAAGCCCGAGGAGGAAGGAACACCTGAACCCAGGAGGTTGAGGCTGCGGTGAACTGTGATTGTGTCACTACACTCCAGCCCAGATGACAAAGACACAACTCACACACACACAAAAAGGAGACTCTTGCATTTTGAACAAAGGCAGAACATGATAAGCACATAAATATTAGTTGATATGGTATGTCCCGAAGGAAAGTTAAGTATCAGCTCAAGTGGGTCATGAATCTATATTTGTAATTTAATAGGAAGTACTGGCAGCTGGATTCCCTGTCCTTGAAAATATCTACCACTTACTGGCATCATCCATAAACTCAAAGTCAGCTCCCAGTTCAGAACTTGAAAAGTGATACTGATCCGGATCAGCCAGGGCGCTCAATAAAATCAACAGTACCACAGCGTTGATGATCTGCAATAAAAACAAAAAACAAAAGAATTAAGTAACCCCAGGATTCAGTCCTTATAACAGAAAATTACCCTGACATGTAGCATTTCTTTTTTTGAGTTAGAGTCTCACTCTGTCGCCCAGACTGGAGTGCAGTGGCACGCTCCCAGCCACCGCAGCCTCGATCTGCTGGGCTCCGGCAATCCTTCCGCCTCAGCCTTCCAAGTAGCTGGAACTACAGGCGCGCGCTACCACGCCTGGCTAATTTTTTTTTTTTTTTTATTGTAGAGATGAGGTCTCGCCAGGTTGCCCAGGCGGGTCTCGAACCCGCAGGCTCAGGCAATTCACTCACCTCAGTCTCCCAAAGCAGAGTATTATTGGCCGAGCCACTGAGCCTGGCTGACACGCAGCATTTCACTTCTACAGTGGCTTGACTCTCAACACCAAGCCCCACCCACTCAGGAAGCAGACAAACAAAAACATCCCCAAAGCAGCAGCACTGCCAGCCCACTCAGACACAGCCAAGCGCACTAGGCTTAGAGTACAGACCACAGCAGGATTTCACCTCTCTAAACCCTAGCCTGGGCACCTAAAGCAGGCAACAACAGGTGCACACACAGGTGGAGACCCTGGAGGAGTGGTTAGAAAAGCACAAGAACTCTCCAGGAAGCCAAGTGCACACTAACGAGCTCAAGGCAAGCAATCTAAGGTGTTTAGGTGATCAAACCTTTTTCACAAGTTCAAACCAGCAGAGCGTTGAGACCATCTAAGGAAGTCCATCTAAGGAAGTCGTTTCAGACAACAGAGCCAGGATCATCACCACTGCAGCAGCCCAAGGGTTCCCTTTCTAGCCTGGGGCCCACATTTCTGTGTTCTGGATACTGCCCAGGACACTTCCCTCCATTACTTCAAACTCAGCTCCTCCAGGCGGAAATCATCTTCCACAACATCTCCCACCTCTGCTCCTCCTGTTCTGTTATCTAGCTTAAAAAATAGCATCACCGAAGCCAGATGCGGTGGTTCACACCTGTAATCCCAGCACCTTGGGAAACGGAGATGAAAGGATTGCCTGAGCAACTTGGCAGGGCCTTGTCTCTACAATAAATCAAAAAATTCACCAGCCGTGTGGAGCTCATCTGTAGTCCCAGCTACTTGGTAGGCTGAGGTGGAAGGATCACCTGAGCCCAGCATGTTGAAGTTCAGTAACCTTGAATGTGCCCTGCACTCCTGCCTGGCCAACAGAGTGAGACTCCAACTCAAAAAAAACCCCTCAAAAACCAAACAAACAAAACCAGCATCACTATTAATAATTCATAGAAAACATTCAGGCCCTATGCTAAGGACTTTATGTGTATTCTCTCTTAAGCCCTGCAATAACCTAGTGAAGCAGGTGCTAAATTGCCACCCCCCCCCTTTTTTTCTGAGTTGGAGTCTCACTCTGTTGCCCAGACTGGAGTGCAGTGGCTGCTCCCAGCCACCGCAGCCTCGACCTGCTGGGCTCCGGCGATCCTTCCACCTCAGTCTTCCAAGTAGCTGGAACTACAGGCACGCGCTACCACGCCCGGCTGATTTTTTGATTTATTGTAGAGATGAGGTCTCGCCAAGCTGCCCAGGTGGGTCTCGAACCTGCGGGCTCAGGCAATCCACTCACCTCAGCCTCCCAAGGCACGGGATTACAGGCTGAGTCACCAAGCCCGGCACTGTCCCCCTTTTATAGATGAGTAAACTGAGGCTTACAGATAGCAACACTGCCCAAGTCAGACAGCTAACAAACTATACAGATGGGATGTGAACCCAGGAATTTTTTTTTTTTTTTTGAGTTGGAGTCTCACTGTCGCCCAGACTGGAGTGCAGTGGCCGCTCCCGGCCACCGCAGCCTCGACCTGCTGGGCTCTGGCGATCCTTCTGCCTCAAC